TGATGGGATCTGATGGCTTTAAGAGTCCTCAAGAAAAGAGAACAACTTCAATCATCCTGAAATTTCTGCTTTCCAATGTCCTTTAAATCCTTCCTACACTACAGAACACAGAAATAACCCTAAAACATATAAGAAAAGAAAATATAATCCTCAACTGCTCTCCGCCTCTGTCACGTTGATTTATAACAGTTATTTCTAAGACAGACAAAAACACACAGATGCAAACAATTACTCTATTTTTGTAGGCAACAAGTGAGGTGGGTGGTAACTGAGAAATTTAGAAAAATCCTGTCACAATATTCGGTTTTTTCTGAAGTAACCCTGAGCACACAACAAACGCTCGCCACATCAGAGACTTTCCAGGGCCTGAAGGGCCACTTTGATTCCAGCCCGCTGCAGGCATTAGTGGGGACGTAATTAGGGTAAAAAGTTCAACCACAGTTCCATGTCTAGAGTGCTGCCAGAAATAAATTTCCTCTCATTCACTGGTTTCTACTGTACCCTCCCTGAGAAACATATTGAAAACACATTTATCTTTGTAGAGTTTGTTCCTCTTCTAATTAACTTTATAGCATTTACAGTATTTAATAATTTAAAGTGGAATTTAAAGTGGCCCTGGAAGTGGCAGCCCTGCCTGTAATGGTGCTGTGCATTATCTTTTCCCTGTGGTGCTTCTTTTGACAAGTTACTGGGGGCAGCTTTGTCCTCCAGCTGCTTTTATCTGGACTTCCTTCCCTCCATCCTTCCCATCCCTCCATCCCCTCCCTGCATCCCTACACACAAAGCAGTAAAACAGAACTGTGCCTCAGCTCGGAAATCTGCTGTCCCAAACCTCCACTGCATCCCAAGGATGCCTTGGAAAAGGTTCCTTTTTTTACAGCTTCATAAATCAAAGCTTTAGAAGGTCAAAACTACCCATGGTTCTCACCAGCTGGTCAAGGTCTGACCCCAAATACTCATTTTGTCCCAGTTTTGATCCAAGATTAACAGTTTATTATAGTTCAAAGGTTATTTCTTACTCTAGGTTCACTGAGACAAACATTTGGAGTATCAGAGGAACTCCAGAGCTTTCCTGCCCTTGGTATTTACACATGGCAACACCACCTTATTCCATTAAAGCTCCATCTCCTGGCATTGGAATCCATGAGAAAATTCACATCATTACCAGCAAACATTACACTTCAACATTACAAATAAGTACATTTTTATAATCACAGAATCAACTCACAAGAAAAAATGAAGAGCTCTTTTTAAGATGGAGATTCTATCTTTAGCACATAACTACCCCATCCAGCATTACTAAAAGGAATTTAAACTGCTTTATTCCTGCCTCTCTCAGGATCTTAAAAGCCACCACACAACCTGCTAAGGCTAAACTGAATTTTCCCAAAAGAAATCAGAGAGGAAAATGTTTTTCATCTGCTGGAAGGGAAGGAAGTCTTTGCAAGGCAGCTGACACCACACAGCTCTGCAGTTAATGAGGCTTTGCAGTTATGCAGCAGCACAAGAACCTCTGGGACTCAAATCCCCACAGGTAACAGAAATGAGAGAGTTTTGCCCAACTTCAGAGATCCTACTGTACTTTTTGGAACAAAATAATTAAATTAGATTTGCTTTCTAGGCTTGAGAGTCTTCACAATATCTGAATTCTGCACACTCTTCAATAAAAGCTCATAAATACTTCACAAACTTCATGAACTCTATTTCACAGTGCCCAACACAATTAAAAATCACAACCACGTGGCCCAGACCACGTTTCTGTGTGATTTCAGAAAACAAAGTGCATTTTCTATCTGCAGTGAGCACACCCTTTGCACAGCCCATGGCAGGGCTGAGCCAGGTGAGCCCTCACCATCACCACAAAGAAAAAAAACAGAGGAAATTTCTGAGATTTCAGGGCATTCAGGAAGAGCTCCCCTGAGCAGTGTCTGGGAACAAAAAGTTCATTCACCAGAGCTCATTTCCTCCTCTTGGGGGATCCTTGCAGGACCTTTGCTGTGGGTGTCTGACAAATCATTTCCCAGCCAGCTCATCTGAAGCATTAAAAGCTGCAGACACTGGAGTGGACACTGGATTTTAGCACTACCCAGTGACTTGCCAGAGCCTGAGCAAGCTCACATCACTCTGAAATATGAATTGAGAAAATATTAATGCTTTAATTGTGCTGTTACTCATGGGAAGCTGCTTCCTAAACCTGAGCACTCCCATAAACACATTCCTGAGCTGAAACTGGGTTAGGGTTAGCAGGATTCCATCTTCAGTAGCCCATAAAGCACACGCTTCCTGAAAATCTGCTGGCAATTGATTTGCCTTGTAAACAGATCAGCAGGGGAAAAAAAAATGCTGGCCAGCCAAAGTTACACATTTTGTTTGCTCCAACTACTCCTCCTTCTTTAATTTACCCTAATTTCCTCTCTCCTCCCATGATTAATAAAGATTACCTCTTGCTTCTCATGCCCTTGAATGACCTCCATCCAATTCTTCAAGTCATCCAAAATTTTCCACCACTTGATATCATCAAACTAATTCATCTTTCTAAAAATATAAACTGAAAAGCCAGCACAGGCTAGAGGCTGCTGAAGGGGCCACTGCCTGAGCTCCTGCACTCTCCCCAAAGGCCTCAAACTTTTACTTTTTAATCATCTATTACAGATTGTTTAATTAGTTACATTTACAGAACCAGCTGATTATCATACAGCCTATGTAAGATTATGGCATTATCTGTTAATCTTTAGCAAAATGATTTGGCTGTTTGGACACAGGACAAGGGAACCAAAATATCAAATGTTTTTGGTAAGGATGGCTCAGAGATCCAGGTCTGGAGAAAGGCTTTAGGAGCCTGCAGTGACAGCACAAGGGCTCTGCCTTCCCTGCTCCTTCATGTGCTTTTATTGCCCTCCTAGATTGGTCATTTTGATTATTTTCAGCTTTCTTGTTACCTATATTATCTACTGAAGGGCAAATTTGCACTCTCTCCATTTATTCTCAACTGTTTCTTAAATAATCTGAATTAAAACAGAATTATCTCGGTTGGTTTCCCTTTAAACTTCTCCATTAGTTAAACTGAAGTATTTATTTAACATTTACATCTGAACAGAACAGAAGTAATGTATTTTGGACCTCTCTGGTGGATTTGACAGTGTTTGTACAGATCCAGTCTGTTCCAAACTATGGCTTCAATAACCCATGTGGGAAAACAGAGATATCTTAATGTTTCACCACCCAGGAAATGCATTCATGTGCACCAAACCCAGCAGTTCATTTTCTGTGTCTGTAAAGCTTTGTTTGTCTTATCACCAGGAACAAGCAGGCATGTCTTTACAACCCTCCACAACCCCCAAATTTAGTCAGATATTCTTTCTTTTTTGGTTTTCCTTTTAATTTGCAGATCTGTAATCTAAGACTGAAAGTGACTGAACCAACCTCTAAACCAGCAGAGAAATACCAGCCAAAAACCACAATCTGTTTCCCATTTCTGTGTCAGGACTGCATCTTTTGGGGGGCTGTGAAAACAATTGTTTTGAAAAGATTATACAGTGAATCACAGCCTGCTTTGGGTTGGAAAGGGACCCTTAAAAACCACCCAGGCCAACCCCCCTGTGAAACATTTCAGTCATTGGAATAGCTGGAAAAATGTGACTTTTAAAATCCAAAAATATGTGTACCAGAAAATCAGATATGAGGGAAAAGTTCCATCCTGTTGATGAGTAGGAAATGATCACACACAAGAATAGAAAACAAAATCTATTAGCAGGAAATTCATCTGGGAGTTAATTAATAATGGCAACAACAAAGAATGATTTAGAAATTACAATATCATGGAGTTGAAAACACATCAGGGGCTTTTTTCTGAGGAAAGCAGAAACTGCCCAGAATCTTTGAATTATTTTCCATTAACAGAAATACAATAACACAGTGAAAATAATTATCTTCAGGGCTTGTTCATTTCTCAGGTACCTCAGCTTCTAAAACAGGACTGTAAGGAGGATTTTTACTAAACCAACTATATATATATACTATATATAAATAGACTGACTGAATAAAGACACAGCAGTATTTGCACCTCTAATTTATAAATAGTTAAACTTACAGGGCAGGGAAGAGAAAGAGAAAAATCACCATAAACTGATTTTTGCAAGTTGTAAATACATAAAGAAAAAATTCGCTTCTCTGCCTTATGTGGATTTTAATTCAAACATTTAAGGCAGGTAATATTAATATTGCAATTTAACACAGTAATACCAGAGAGAGGTAAAGATTTGACAGTTCTTCCTTCACACACACAGTGATTAAATTCTTAATTGAAAAAGGTGTGGCACAGAATTAGTCCTACAACTGTAAGAAGATTTACTTCAACTGCTCAGCCATTAAATGGCTGTGTAGAGGATTACTCCTGAAAAGCAAATATTTTCCTGTAGGTAGAGATATAAATCCTGTGCATTGTCTGAATTAAACACAAAATATCTCAAGGGCCTCTTTTATAAGAGCAGTGATACAACAATTCCGGAGAGAGCACAAAGCAAGATTGTAAACTGATTTTTGTAACTCAAGGAAGGAGGTTTAACATGTATTTTGCTAATACACGTGTATTAATACAGCATGTGCCTGCAACAATGAAATGCTTGGTATTTGTAATTCATTTGCTGCTTGAAAAATTACTTTTTAAGACACAGAGATTGCTTTAAACACTTCACAATAATAATTCTGACCTGGATTAATATCAGAAAAGGTTCATCATAAAGTTGTCATTCCACTGAGAATAAAATAAACTTTAAATACCTCTTTATTTATTTTATATCAAGAGTCTCTTTTTCATTCCTTTCCAAAAGCTTAAGTCATAGGAAAATATATGTTGACACACCAAAAAAATAGTTTAAAGCCACATGCCAGTGTTATCCCATGAAGAAAAAAGGAACAAAGCTTTAAAGATGTCATCTGCATGGCCTTTCAGAAGGCAACACAATTTCTCTATTCCTTTTATCCCCAGAAAACATTCTTACCCAGAAGACCCAATGCTTTTGCACACACCAAGCAGAGGCCTCTTCTCAGCAAAATTATCACATTTCTGAGCACCTGGCAAGAGGGAAAACAAAAGAAAAGCAAAAGCAAATCACCACATGCTGTTTGTACAGTTTCCAAGTTCAGGCTGGGGCCCAATCTACTGATACTACACAAAACCCCCAGCTTGTGCAAGGCAAGGGACAGAAATTCAAATTACAGGCAGAGCTGTGAGAGAGATGAAAACGAGAACCAGCACAAGCAGCAAAACGTGGCCGGGCTTTGGGAGGGGTTTTCTGCTCATCCCAGCAGGGCTGGGATGCTGGGGCTGAAACAAGTGGCTCTTGCTCACTTTTCCCTGTTTTTTAGGAAGTTCTCTGCAGCTCTGCCTGGGTTCACACCTTGGCTTCCAGTTTGTAGAAGTGGAGCCCAGGAGTGCCAAGCTCAGAGCAGCCCCTGCCCCGTGCCCAAGAAAACAGGAGGAGAAATCCAAACCACATCCATCTGTCCCAGCAGCAGGAGATGTAAACCTTTAAGGAAACAACCCCCAGGTGGAAGCACAGCTCCTCCAGCCCATCCCATCCCATCCCATCCCATCCCATCCCATCCCATCCCATCCCATCCCATCCCATCCCCTGCAGGGGTGCAGAGCCCAGCAGAGCCAGCTGGGCCTGCCCTGTCACCCTGTCCCCCAGCAGTGCCACCAGCCTGGCACTGGGAGCCAGCCCTGCTGTGCCCCAGGCTCCCTCACAGCTCCAGCCCAGCACAACCAGACTCTTACAGACGCCACACTTCTTAAAATGGGGTTTTAAGAGTTTGGAGAGCTTTGCTTTATTGCTGCATAAACAGAAATAAAACTAACATTGAGTCTTTAAAGGAAAAAAAAAATATCTCACTTCTGCTTGTGAACAATGTGTAACTGAATTCCAGGCTATGTTTCTACCCAACTTAAAGAACAAAGTAACAACCAATACCACCACTACTAACTTTCCTCCATTTTCTTTGAACCTTTGCCTTTTTAATTATCTATCTATAGGTCTGCACATGTGTGGTGAATAAGGATTTTTTTTTCTCCATTATACAGCAAACCCTTTGATCTCTAAAGAATATTAGTGATACAGTCTGCTCAAAATTTAAATCTTGAATAGTGCTGTACAAAACCAAATCATTTATTCAGAGAGGCACAACAATTAACAATATACATTTTGACACAGCAGACTGTTAATTATTAATGACTCAGGTACATGCACTTAATTTGTAACAAACACTGTTGAGTCCTCTCAACTGTACAAGGAAAAATCTTCCCTCCTACACCTTTGGCTATTTACAAAGTCAAATGGATCACATCAATAACTCCACCATCAACAATAGCTTTACAAATAACCTAAACCAGCCAGATGTATTTTCCTTTTATTCCTATTATTTCAAGCTCTTTGGTGAGTCAAACCTGTACTGTATGTACTGACCTGGAAATTGATAAATGAAACATAAAAGTCTTCTCAAGAGTCTGGCAAGCAATTTGTTTCCTTCAATGCAGGTAACAGATGAATTCCATTTGTTCTGCTCCCAGCACGAGGGTGAAATGCTGACTACCAGCACTGCTGACACTGATTTAAGTGCAGCCAGGATTTCACCTGAAGTATTTAACTCTACTTTTTGCCTTCTTTTTTCACTAGGATATATTAGAGACACAAATTCAGATGTTTATTTATGGTCTAGTTTAATGACCAGGAAAGGAAAGAAGGAGGAAAAATGAGGGGGAGCCCAGGGAATCAAGTGCCCAAAATCAAAAGCAATGCCAGATTTAATACCCACAGTACAGATTTGCAAAATTTCTACAACAGGTGCTTAAACTTCTCATTTCTGTCTATAATGACTCAAGTCCCTCAATTTTAAAAAAATCCATTTTCTCCTTCAATACTTTCAGAATGTAAATATTAATAGTGCAGGAAAGGATCATTACTGGGAGGCCTCTGAGAGCATTAAATCAGGTTAATAGCTGTCCCATCCTGGAGATTGCACAGTGACATGTGTTGGGCTCTAATGGAGGCAGGAGCCTCTCCCAGGTCTGGGGTGGCATTTAATCCCCCAAGTTCTGCTGGATTAATTTTCATTTGTAGAATTGTGTTTATTTGCATGTGCGAGGCGCTGACGTTGCACACACCTGCTGCACACACAGTGTTTAACAAAATTGAAATGAAAAACAGCTCTCTAAATCCCCCCAAATACAAAAAGTATTGAAATCCTGTTGCAAAGTCTCTTTCTTAAACTCCTTTTATTCTAAATCCTTTTAACTCTGTCATATAACACTACAGCATTTATAAAATGCTGGAAATCCTGACAAATCACACAATTAAAGTAATGAAAACTGCCCTTCCTGCCAACAAGGCACCACCTTATCTACAGCTCCATTTAGCTAAATGATAGGTTTGGTTTTTTAAAAACCTCACTTCAGTTTGTATGCTTAAAATTGAACCAAAAAAAAAAAGGGAGAAAAAAAATCTCTCTGTGGCTAAATGAAATTTCATACAAATCAACATTTAGAAGTTTATGAAGTCAAAAGGTCACCCAGACTAAGCTCAAAGCAGCTTAGACCCTGTCCTGCTGATGAAACTGTGAACTGGGGCCTCAGGGCCTGCTAAGGCCTCTCAATAATGCCAATAAAAAGAGTGACAACAGCACCACAAGCAGCACATCCTCTTTGTGCAGAATGGAAATGAAGCCCAGAGGATGCCACAGGAACTCCAAGGCTGCCCAGAACTCTGGGAATGGCCCTGGTTTGCCACCAGGAGGAAGCTGCTGGATGAATTTCACACTCTGACCTATTTAGCAGTGCTCAGAGGCACCGTGGAGTGGATTTTCCTGGTGTGTAATTCCACAGATCAGTCCCATTTAATAATGGGATAAAATAATAATAATAATAATGAGTGCTGCTCCTGCTCCACTAAACCCCTCTCATTCCCATCTTTTCTTTGGAGATCTTGGGGCATTCCCTGCTCCACTAAACCCCTCTCATTCCCATCTTTTCTTTGGAGATCTTGGGGCATTCCCTGCTCCACTAAACCCCTCTCATTCCCATCTTTTCCTTGGAGATCTTGTGGCATTCCCTGCTCCACTAAACCCCTCTCATTCCCATCTTTTCTTTGGAGATCTTGTGGCACTCGTGGTCCTGCAGCAGCCCAGCACTACCTGGGAATGCCCCAGGCTGGAATTCCCTCTCAGCCCAGCCAGGTGAAGGTTTCAGGTGCGCTGGTCTAAAGCACCAGAAAACAATTAAATAATTAATTTATTTCATTTATGATGTGAGGAGGAAACACAGGTCAGGCCAAAGCTTCGAAGAAATTGGGATTTTACAGTGTTGCACCCCAAAATTCTCCCCTGTAATGTCTCTAAAAGAGACTAAGTTGGAGAATTCCAGTCTGTAATTTCTATAATCCACAGACATTGCCATTCATTATCCCAAAAACCCCAGCAGAACTCAGACACACACCTGCACAACCAGCCCAAACCTTGCTTGTCCATCCAGCAGGGCCTGGGATTCTTTTGGCCTTTTTGGGGATTTCAAACCACTGAACCACCCAAGTGGCTGAACATACACAAACCTCACATCTGCCTTCCTTTAGAAAGCAACCTAAATATTAAAGCTCTTTAAGTGTACCTGCACATAAAGCTGAGTCAGCTTTTGAGGTTCCAATCTTCATTTTACCAACATCAAAGATGGGAGCAGTGGAGAACAGGGATAAATCTGCTGCAATATTCCAACTCTCAATGGGTTTTAGTGCCTCTAAATTCTTTCTATTTCCTTTTTTTATTTGCTTTTTTTCCCCACTTATAAGTCAATTTGAGTGAACAGACAAATTCACTGAGAGATGTAGGGCTATTATATCATCTTTCTGCAAGCTGCATAATCTAGAAAATGGCAATAAATTAATTCAGCTCGCTGGAGGAATTTATTTTCATAATGCTGAGACATGGAAATAGGTTTTACAGACAACCACTGATCTAAACTTCACCACACCAGCCTGTCACCCCTTGGAGCAGGAGCTGCCACACACACAGCTGCTCCCTGGCTTTCTGAGCCTCTTGATTGATTTTGAAACTATGCAGCTCTACCTTGACAAATGGGACAGCACAAGGCAAAGCAGGTATTTGGCCAGGGGCTTGTAAAATGACCTGGGATAAGTAATAAAAAATGGGAGATTGTAGCACTGACTTCCTTCAGAAAGCATCAATATTCTGATTTTGCAGGTGAAAAAAACCACAAAGGTAACTGAAATGAATGTATCATTGCCTCAGCACTGACAGAAAATCCAGACCTGGACACATGGAAACAGCCCTAACCCAGCCCAGCCCCAGATGTGGAAGTGGAGAAGAGCCACGGATGGCTCAGAGGGATTACAGCTCAGAATTCCTGTCCCTGCATTGCCAGAGTCCAGACTGAGATGTTCTCATGGTCTGAATATGAGCTCTGCAAGCCCAAAATGTGCTCACAGTCAAAGCCTCATCTCCAAAAGGCCATGTATATTGTAAACTGCACAGATTAATTCAAGCCCTGCCTAATGAAGGCCCTGCTAGGTGTGGCCTGAACTGAGGAGAGGGGCTGATATCTGGAGGGTTTGGCATTATTTACAGAAATCCCTCCACTTCTCATGGCCATCTCCTGCAGGCTGCAGAGCAGACATCAGAATGAGGCAGCAGAGCTGGGCCAGCCCAGGCTGGGTGAGCAGAGCAGAGCTGGGCCAGCCCAGGCTGGGTGAGCAGAGCAGAGCTGGGCCAGCTCCCCTGGGTGGCTGAGAGCAGAGCTGGGCCAGCCCAGGCTGGGTGGCTCAGGGCAGGGCAGAGCTGGGCCAGCTCCCCTGGGTGGCTCAGAGCAGGGCAGAGCTGGGCCAGCCCAGGCTGGGTGGCTCAGAGCAGGGCAGAGCTGACCCAGCTCCCCTGGGTGAGCAGAGCAGAGCAGAGCTGGGCCAGCCCAGGCTGGGTGAGCAGAGCAGAGCAGAGCTGGGCCAGCTCCCCTGGGTGGCTCAGAGCAGGGCAGAGCTGACCCAGCTCCCCTGGGTGGCTCAGGGCAGAGCTGGGCCAGCCCAGGCTGGGTGAGCAGAGCAGAGCTGACCCAGCTCCCCTGGGTGGCTCAGGGCAGAGCTGGGCCAGCCCAGGCTGGGTGAGCAGAGCAGAGCTGACCCAGCTCCCCTGGGTGGCTCAGGGCAGAGCTGACCCAGCTCCCCTGGGTGGCTCAGAGCAGGGCAGAGCTGACCCAGCTCCCCTGGGTGGCTCAGGGCAGGGCAGAGCTGGCCCAGCCCAGGCTGGGTGAGCAGAGCAGAGCTGGCCCAGCTCCCCTGGGTGGCTCAGAGCAGAGCTGGCCCAGCTCCCCTGGGTGGCTCAGAGCAGAGCAGAGCTGGGCCAGCTCCCCTGGGTGGCTCAGAGCAGAGCTGGCCCAGCTCCCCTGGGTGGCTCAGAGCAGAGCAGAGCTGGGCCAGCCCAGGCTGGGTGAGCAGAGCAGAGCTGGGCCAGCTCCCCTGGGTGGCTCAGAGCAGGGCACAGGTGCCACAGATGCCAGTCCCAGCAGCTCCAGGAGCTGGCCCAGCCCTGAGCTCACAAACCTGCCCAGGCCCTGCTGCAGGAGATGCCCTGCATGAAATAATCCCTCTGAAACAAGGCTGCATTATGCCACCAGGCACACCAGCAGGCAGAGGATCTAACATCAAAGGGCTGCAGTTTTTTCATGAAATAGTTGACAAACTATTAAGTTCTGAGCTGTAAAGTCACCAAGTTAAAGCCATGAGCTTTCCTTTCACACCTGGGAATGAGCTGCTTATCACCAGCTCAGATCTGCTTCTAGGAACGTGCCAAATCCATCCACCAGGAGACTCCTATTTGCAATAATTCCCTTTTTACAGCTTTACAGTAAAACAGTGTTTGAGCCTGCTGATGGTAATCAGCTTCTCCTTTACAAATTCCTTTTATTTTGTTCAGAATCATTAAAGCTCATGAGTTAGTTATCTAAGGCCTCTTATTACAGCTTTACTTTTATCTGATTCCAGATACTGGTCAATGATACATTCATGTACTTTTAATCAAAGATTTATTTAAACCAAGCCATGTAAAAAGAGACCAAAACATGTTTTTAAAAGGTTTGGTTTAATTTAATATGAGCTAATTTGAATAGTTTTCTAATGTAACAACTATCATTGTCAGATGCTAAATATATGGAATTTAGGGGCAGAAAGACAATAACTGCTTGAAGGAGTTCATGGGTGTGATTTCCTTGATTGAAAAATCAAAAACCTGCTCTAGTACCAGAAAAAACCAGAACTCCCAGGTTCTTCAATTCATTTACTTCATTTTCATTTCCACTTCTCTTTCTCCTTTTTTTTCCTTCCAAAGAGGAAGGGGCACTGACATCTATCACTCAATGGCACAAATGGCAGCAGCTCACTGGGAATCATGCAGGGTTCCAGTAAATGGAATAAAGGAACAACAGGCTTGGGAAGTATTTCACTCTAAGTTAGTTTAACCTGTAACAGTTCCACAGCCACACACACTTTGTATATTCCTCTGCTTAGGAAATCACCAAAACTATATATAATATGCCCATTAAACATTCTTCATTTACTTTCTTTGAAACACACAAAATCAGTACAATTTACTAGGAATAATTTAAATAATAAGATTTTAGGCTGTATTTTTTGAGTCCATTAATTAATTCATAAAATAATTACTAGAAATTCTAAACCAGCATAGTCCCCAAACACCTTGGTCATACTAGAAATACATTCTTTTCATCCACAAAGTAAAAACAACCAATTTAATTTAAACCCAAGCAGTTCTTTCAGAAATCAACAATTAGATTGGGTTTGGATGGAACAGGGTAATTTTTTTAGAGGAATTTGCTTGTTTATGGACATTTGCTCAGATTTTGCAGCAAGTTCTTCTCAGGGTGAACCCAACCTCTGGAAGAATCCTGTTAAATTAAGCAGCTTGGTTTAGAATTTGATCAAATAGTATTTAAGCAGAGGCAAAGAGGAGCTGCACTCAAGGGATGATAAAATGCAAACCACTGAAAGGGTCAAAGTGAGGAAAGTTAATGGAAAACAAGGAGAAATGAACACAGCAGAAGCCAGTGCCACCCCAAAACACAAACCCTGCTTTGTTAGCTTTACTGGAGTGGCTCAGCACATTTTTAGAGAGTTCTGGGGATGCTGAAGGGTTTGGGGCTGTACTCACTGATCTGAGGAGCTGGAAGGATCCGAGCAGCTCGAACCGGCCCGTGGCGCACCGAGAACAGCTCCTGAGCCTCCCCACTGATCTGCAAGGGCCAAAAAACAACTTACACCTGCAAAAATACATCCATCCAATGGCTAAAAATGCATCTATTTAATGGCTAAAAATACATCCATCCAATGGCTAAAAATACATCCATCCAATGGCTAAAAATACATCCCTTCAATGGCTACAAATACATCCAGTCAATGGCTACAAATACATCCAGTCAATGGCTAAAAATACATCCATCCAATGGCTACAAATACATCCCTTCAATGGCTACAAATACATCCCTTCAATGGCTACAAATACATCCAGTCAATGGCTACAAATACATCCAGTCAATGGCTACAAATACATCCCTTCAATGGCTACAAAGGTAGGTAGGAAGGCATTGCAGGGAGGTATATTGGTAACTCTGCCTAGGCAACAAACAGCTCCTGAGCCTCCCCACTGATCTGCAAGGGCCAAAAAACAACTTACACCTGCAAAAAAACATCTATTTAATGGCTAAAAACACATCTATTTAATGGCTAAAAAGACATCTATTTAATGGCTAAACCCACATCTATTTAATGGCTAAAAAGGTAGGTAGGAAGGCATTGTAGGGAGGTATATTGGTAATACTCTGCCTAAGCAACCACTGCCATTTCTCTAATTGAAAATATAAATATAAGAAGTTTTGAATTAACTGCTCATGACCACACAGGCTTTGGAAGAAGCAAGACTTGAAGCTGACTAAAATTCACAGAAGTTTATCCCACGTTTCACATGGTTCTAAAGGAAAATGCCAGCTCACCAGAAATCAGTCAGGAGTGGCAAACATGGCTGGAAAAAGATGGGAGAATTTCATTTATTGGTTCATTTCAAACTCACCAGGTGTGAAAACCATGTTTAAAAATTGGTGGTCAAGCTACTTAAGCCTGTCACTGATGGCAATGTTGAAAAGATTAAAGCAGAAGCAGTTCATGAATTTCCAGACTTCCTGCAATGGTCACTCAATGGATTTTCATAAGTGCCTGGAAATGGATCCGATATGGAACGTCAAACTGCAGGAAAATGGCAAACATGATGGAGCTCATTTCCAGCTAACCAACAACTTAAAACAGATGTAATGAGCCTCAGAACACGGCCAAGGCTGGCATCAAGTTTTGCCAAACAAGCAGCTTACAATATCAGAAGAGAACATGATTTGGAATAAGGTTCTTAGGAATCAATAAACTATAAATTCAAGTGAACTTTTGGAAATGTCATTTTATGGTTGTTTCCATTTCTTTCTGCACTTCAGCTCACACGTCCAAAAAGTTAAAATACTCCTACTGTTTGACCAGCAAATCCCAAGTACAGTGCTCCAGGCTCTCAGCTTACATCCACTCCTGCCTGGTTATTTATTATCTCTGCTCTGGGTCATGGGGGAGAATGAAACCCACCCCATGAAGCACAATTAGAAATGAAATTACTCTGAAAATACCATTTACTACAGAGCTAAGCCACCTTTCTGCACACACTACAGAGAACTGCTGCTTCTCCCTGTTAAGCCTGGAATTACACACAAGCTACACAAATGTGGGGAAATAGCATTTTAAGCCATTTTAGCCCAGCAGTTTATCAATTAACATCACTGTTAATGACACCAACTCACTAAAGGTTTGCTGATGGCTTTTAACTGATCATGAGCTTGGAGTGCAGTGTGGGGATAAAAAAAAAGCCTCTGGATGAAAACATCTGTATCCAGAAAAAACAGCTCAGGAAAATGTAGAGCACAGCTAAGCAGAAAATGAGGAAAATTAAAGAGGGACAGAGTAATAAAGAGATTTCAGAAATTAAGACAGCAGCACGTTCTCTGTCCACTGGAACACAGCAGCTCTATGCAAAGGGAAAGGAGGAAATGGAAAAGAAGGGAAATAGAAGGTTTGGGAACTATTATTCTTGGCAATTAAAGATTTTTCCCCCAAACCATGCAAATGCTGTTCACACGTGTATGCACATCTCTGGCTAGGAAGGAAAACAAGAGGGAAAGGAACCAGCACAACAAAGGTAAGGAAGGAGTGATTCCCATAAAACATCCCAAGCAGCTCAGACACCTCCCTCTCCTTTTGAGCCCTGCCAGCAACCAGCCCCAGCTCCAATCTGCTTCAAACTGAGCTCCAGTCCCCAAAGGAAGACACACTGAGAGGGCCAAACCTCCTTAACTCAGCTTCTGCTCTGAAATATCCTGAACTCCAGGAGAATGTTTATCCAGCCTGGGGTGCCAAGACCTGGTGGAGCTTAAACCTGAGACTTGCAAAGAAAAGCTAGAAATGTCCAAATCCAAATGAAGTTTATTTGTGCTGAAGCATTTAACATGGAAATCCCAGCCCAGCTCTTCTCATGCACAGAACTTTTGAATAATGAATATTCATTATTTAAAGATAATTTATTATTTCATACTGGGGGGAAATTACAGAAAGTAAGGTTAAATGGAGTAACAAAAGGCACAGGATCCAACAGTGACTAAAATGAGATTACAGGTGTTTAGGCCCTGTTTTGAGAGCACTGTAGGTTAACAGGTGCTCTGCTCAGTCCTGCAGCATTCTAAATCATGGAATGGTTCAGGTTCAGCCTCTACAGCTCAAGTGCTGAGCACTTGCTGACTCCTGGCAGCTAAAAAGGTTCAAATCTGAAGATACATCCCCACTGGAGGCTTTGTGATGAAAATACAAGATGCCACCCAACTGCCAGCATCTCGCCTGTAAAGAAAATTCAAATTCCCTAACAGGCACAAAATAAAGTTTCCAAAAACTCTGGATGTGACATTACACCACTGATCACATGAAAACACTAATATTTAATCTAGCAGAGTTTCACAGAGTAACAGCTTTGTCAGGGGATTTAAGCTGTGTGTCCTTAACTGTCCTGCTGAGACAGGGGCTCAAGGCTGCATCTCGTGTCTGCCATGAATCAGTGAGAGCTTGGTTGTTCCTTGCTTTGCTTGGCACTGAAAAATGCATCAGGGCTTCAAGATTTTCTTTGAATCCCAATTAAGTTCTTTCAAACACCAGAAGCTTGTGCTGTTTGCAGACTTACAAACCCCTGAATTAACTGTGGTTAATTTAATGCCCTTCATTTATCCATGGATAAAACTTCATGGCTGAGGTCACATGGGACGGTGTTCACAGGGGTCTCAGGATGAGGGAAGAGATGAGAATGTTGGCTCCATGTTTCAGAAGGCTTTATTTATTATTTTATGATATATATTAGATTAAAACTATACTAAAAGAATAGAAGAAAGGGTTTCATCAGAAGACTGGCTAAGAATAGAAAAGGAAATGAATAACAAAGGCTGAGGCCTGACTGAGACAGTCTGGTTGTGATTGGCCATTAATCAGAAACAACCACATGAGCCAATCCCAGATGCCCCTGTTGCATCCCACAGCAGCAGAAAACCATTGGGTACAGTTTGTTCCTGAGGCCTCTCAGCTTCTCAGGAGGACAAATCCTAAGGAAAGGCTTTTCCATAAAACATCATGGCTACAGTCACACAGATCCAACCTGGGGGCACAGAGATGGTGTGGCCTGATCTGCTGCCACCACAGCCCTACCTCAGTTTATCCCCTGGGAATGGGACACTCACCCCAGCAGGAGCTGCCCATGGAGGGGACAGGGTCAGCTGTGGGCTGGCACCTCCCAGCCAAAGGCTCCACACCCCCTCAGCAGCCCCTGGAGCTCCACAGTCTCACATGCACAGACAAAACATAAATAGAGCTCATGAATTGAAAACAGAGCTCTAAATTCTTCAAAAAGCACCTGTGAGAAACGAGGCTGTGGCTGCCATTTTGGATTGGATCCAGCTAAGTAGCAAGTCCCCGTGGCAGCTCTCAGAGCTCTTAAAAGTTTTTCTTTCCCATTCCAAAAGCCAAGAATATTTCCAAACAGGTTTCAAGAATTGGATATTAAGCTGTAAAAGCAGCTCCAGGTACTGGTTGCAGGGAAGAGGGAATCCAAAATGAGGGCTCCAAGCTGCTCTGGTAGAACATCTCAGCTTTCCCAAAACCTGGCATCAACCACAACTCCCAGACCTACAGGGAAGGCTGGAAGGAAGGATTCAAACCCCCAAAAAATTCTTCATTAAAGGAGGAGGAAGATTCTTCTTCTTCTTCACTTAAGAGATCTTGAGCTACTGCTTAAAACACGACAGCCCAGGAGTCTGCAGCAATGGAGGATTTTTGATGGCATTGTTTGGAGCACACCAGTTTGCACCCATTAAAAACCTGAACAAAGGAAGTTTTGTTCACACCAAGGACAAGTAATAGTTTCCAACCAGAGAAAATGGTTTTCACATGGTGAAAAAAAAAATTAAAACAAAAAAAAAAGCCAAACATACACCAAAGTGAAATGAAATGGAGTTTGGAACTCAATGCTTGAACTACAGTGGAAATCTAGAAATGGAAACTGGGGAATGTGTAACAGGAAAAGGGAATGATCTGGAGATTGTTTTTAAATATTCTGAGGTGTGTTTTGTACATGAAGATATCATGATATGATGTTATAATTAATAGATACCACCACCAAATATTGCTGCATATGGGTTAAAGGCAACTCCCAGTCATGCTGCTGCTGAGAAAGCAAGGAAGGACTGGAAGAAAATGAACAAATTTTATCACTTTAGTTTAGAAATTCTCTCAGCTTTTCCATTGAACAAGATCTCTGTAATTATCTAGAGATTGTGAGAGTTCAGATGCTCAAGGAATGTTGCTCTAGTGGCTGCCCTGAGGATGAAGCTGCACCTGGTGCTTTCAATTATGGCAGTGCTAATGCAATCAGAAGTTTTGTAAAACCACATTTCTGGCACACTGGTGCCTCCTCAGTGTAAAATCCCAAAGCCTCAGCAAATGGTTTGCATGGAAGTTCTGTAAAGTCCTCAGACATTTTTCAGGGTCACTGGCTCAGGTCTTTACTCCGTTTTTCTGACTGGTTCCCTCTAGGAAGAGGCCTGGACAGAACAAGGATTGCAGCTTGGGATGTGTAAGTTCCTAATTGTCACAAGAACCAATACATGAAGGTGATTTTTCTACTTCTGAATGAAAAACAAAAGCCAAGCAGCCAAGGTGCATTCCCTGGCCAGGAACATCCAGAACAGCCACGTGGAACCACACCAGGCTCAAAGCAGCTCCAGTTGCCTCTGAAACACCAAACTGGGAGCAAAACACAAACCCCAAACAAAACACAGAACTCCAGTGCCCCATTAGCACACAGGAACTCCCAGTGTATCCCCTGATTCCTCCCCACTTACCCAGGAATATTTTAAGGCCACTTTTAACCTTGCCACCCCCACTGGAGAGCAGAGATCAAAGCCCAGCCCTTTGGATGGACACCTTGTGCTGCCCTTCCCCTGCCAGGCTCCCCCAAACACCCCCCAGGCCTTTGAAGCCTCCCTAATGGTATCTCCCATTCTGCAAATCGCACTTTTGTACTCCAGAGCTCTTCCTCGGAGGAGATGTTAATGTGAAAGCTCTCTCAGCTCGCAGAGAGGTGTGGGCAAGGCCGTGGAGCACCATTAGCAGGAGTGTGGGCTTAGGAGCTGTCATAAACACTTCATAATCACTCACACACAACCCCTGCTGCCTGCAACACGTTATTAAGTGCTGAATAGAGGGCCAATTGTAGGAATAAAAAAGCACAATGCTACAGATAATGACTTTCCTGAGGAGATTTGCACATAAATGTCAGATTGTTGCTTTTGCAGATTAAGCTGGAGAATGCAGAGTTGGTTATTTTTTTCCTTAGCTGGAATAACATTGCTTAATTACAAGCTAAATAGTCAGTGGGGCCAAGAAGGAAGGTTTGTGTAATAGCAAAGGGCACAAAAAAGTGTTGCCAAATAAGCTCTTAAATAATATTAAGTCAATCACAGAGCTGCCAGGTTTTATTGTGCTCAGGCTGAGCAAGGGGGGAAAACACAAAGGAGAAGCAACAACGTTGAAAACCCCCTCCAGTTTATGAAAACCCCCTCCAGTTTATGAAAAACCCCTCCAGTTTATGAAAAACCCCCTCCAGTTTATGAAAAACCCCTCCAGTTTACGAAAAACCCCTCCAGTTTATGAAAAACCCCTCCAGTTTATGTTCCCTCTCAATTTGTTGGATACACAAATCCTGCTCTGCAAAGATATTCCAAGCTGATGTTAAAGATCATTGTTCTGTGAAAATGTGCCCTATCAGAGGAGCCATTCCAACACTGACACTGCTCTAACACAAAGTGGCCAGGTCCAGGCTGCACCTCCCGGGCTGAGCTCTCAGAATTTCACAGAATATCCAAATAAAGGGCTGGCAAAATGATGCAATATCCCCACAGCTGACATTCTGAAGGTGCATGGGAAAATATTTCCACATTTGGCATTTTCTCCATTTCACTGCACTTCCCCCCTGCTCATACTCCTGCAAAGGTTGAACAACACTAAGAGAAGCTGTCCTGCAACTTAATTTTTGTTATTTTTCCTGATATAGCAAATACTATCAAAAGCTAGGAATGATGAAGAAGTGAAATATATTAAGGGGGGGAAAAAAAGACAACCTGGCTGTATGGGCCTACTAAAAAGAAGGCAAAACAGGTATTCCATGGCCTAACTTGTGGCTCATTCAGACACAAGGAGGGAAAAAGAAGAAAACAAAACCATCTCTCCATGGCAGAAACAACATCTATCCTTTTTTAGCAGAAAGCACAGGATCATATGGATAAAAACATTTCAGCTGGGTGAAATGGCGTGTTTTGTGAGGATACCGGAGCTCCAGCCGCTGAGATGCTGAGGGTATGGTCATTAATTAATTAATTAATTAATGATTGATGGGGCGGCGCTGCCGCTCTTTGCCCGGTGTCCCAGCGCCCCCGTGTGGGCGCTTCGTGTAACGCACCGCGAGAGAAAATCCCATTTTTGGCTGAAACGTTCCCAAGTTTCAGTTAAAGTTCCTAAGTTTTAATAAACAGTTACAAAATACTGAAATTTAGCGAAGTATATTCGGTCTCATTCCATTTCTGTTAAACATTCCTTCAAGCACAAAACCTCATCGGCTTATTTCCTCATTTGTGCTAACGAGATGCAATCAAGGGGATAATAAGATGCAACGAAGAAGGGGAAAGCCCTGCCACACCCATAAAACTCAATTAAACTGAACTTTTGCTTTAGAAATTAACATTATTTTCTAAGCTACTGGTATATAAACACATGTCCTACACAGCTAACCAGAAAGTTGTAAAATACACACATTTCTTTAAAAAACAATGTATTTTACAAAGGGAAGGAAGTCCATCCTCTCTGTTTTATTCTGAAGGATAAGGTGTTATGAGCAATTTTGCTTTTTTAAGTTCAGAATTTTATGACCTACTATATTCAACTTTATTCTCTCATTTTGAGCAATTTGGGGGAAATTCCCCAAATGAAGACCACGTGCCCATAAACCACTCTGCAACACAAACCAGGGCGTGGGGATGACAGCATGAAATCAAACCCATATGCACACAGAGGCCTTCATAAAATTAAAATTGCAAATCATGTGCATGACAAACATGTGACTGTAAAATACTATTAATACTGTCATACTGGAGTTCCTGGGACAAACAAATCCTGTTGGTGTTTTTAAACCCTTATCCTTTTCTGTTAAAAAACAAAATCCAGTTTTGTTCTGGGGCTAGAAACGGCTCCAGAACAGCAAACACTGCTCCCAGTTTCAGTTTGGAAATGAACTGGAGCTCCTGGGACAAACAAATCCTCTTGGTGTTCTTAAACCTTTATTCTTTTCTGTTAAAAAACAAAATCCAGTTTTGTTTTGGGTTTATAAACTACTCCAGAATGGCAAACACGGTTCCCAGTTTGAGTCAGAAATGGACTTAGCAGGAATAATGTGTGAAAAGCCCTCAAAAATCTGCAGGTACCTGAACTGAAGTGTTTGAGCTGTGCTCAGGATTATCTGAAGATAAGCACATTACACACAAGCCATGAGACATGGATGGGAAGCGTTGGCTCTCTCCCTTCAGGGGAGAAATGCAGTAAAATGTTGAGGTTGGGACCCAGAACTGACAGGGAAGAGGAGAGGGAAGGGGTGGGCTCTGCACTCACAGGAATGCTCCACACTTGCATCCCATCGCTGTAGCCCAGCAGCAGCAGCAGCGGGGGCTCATTCCCAGTGCTGTGGATCTCGTGGAATTCCATATTCCTGGAGGTATCTGAGGGACATTCAACAGCAAAGGCACCATTAGAAGTCAGGATCAAGCTCCCAGCAACATTAGAAGGTGCTCCCTCAATGGTTAGAACTAAAAGCAACCAAAGTGCTTTACATTTTCATGCTGGAGCAATACTGAAATATATTTTTTATATTTGCACCTGCAAGCATCACTGTTGAAGTTTCACAAAGAGAAAGCTTCAAAATTTAAAATATTGGAGAAAAAATGTTCTGGGTAACAACATGGTCTAAGAGAAAATGGTGATTGATTCCCCAGTCAGAGCTGAGCTCTTCCATCTGTTTATCCCTGTTCCTTTTCTTTAAAGGAAGGTTAGGGATGGAGTGAGAGAGAACCTAAATCAGGGTTAATAAACTAGAAATGACCTATAATCTCTATGTGGCCATATATATATATATATATATATATATATATATATATATATATATATATATACCTTTATGGCCATCTCTGGCCAGTTAAGGTTTGTTTGCTTTCCCTTTATTTTTTATAAAATCTCAGGCATTCCCTTTTTAGATTCATATAACAAAACTCCTTAGAATATTCTTCCTGTTGTGTTTAAATTTATTTCATGCAGCCTGATCTGACTGGGCCTGGAAACATCCTCGTTCACCACCCCAAATAAATCTTCTCTCTCTGATGCTTCCATGCTGTCAGTGAGCTCTGCTCATTCCCTCATGGTTGAAAATGTCATTTAAGAGGGGTTTTACTCAAGAAAATCATAATATTTATGGTTATTCTATTACAGAGAAAGCTGACTGGAATTATTGCACATGGACCCAAAACTCACAAGTACAAGTGGGAGAAAACGAAGCCATACCATTTAAATCTGCATTTTCAAATCTGACCCAGACAATTTTCTCTTTTTCTTCTGGTGGGGTTCCACTGTAGGCCTGGACAAAAAGCAAAAGGGTTGAAACAGGGCAGATGAACAGTGGTTTTTCTCCCCCTGTAAGAAGGAATTCTATTAAAAACCACAAACATGATCCATGGAGCTCGCTGTCACCAGTACCCACACAACACAGCCAGGCTGAACATCACTCACTGGTGCAGGAATAACCAAATATTTGTGACAATAAATCTTCTGGGGCAGGTGGGAAATGCCACGTGATTGGAGGGAGTTAATAAAATTAAACACAGTGGCTTCCACAGTCTTGAACTTCAGCCCTGTTGGAGGTTCTCACATGAGGTGTTTTATCATTAAAATTCTCTTTAATTCACTTAAAAGCTTTGCAAGCCAGACTAAGGAAAGAAAGAGACCTTTACTCCACAGTTTATATTGCTGACACCTTCCAGTTCTGTTTGTGACAACTTTAATGCAGCCATTTAAAAGAGAATAAAGTGCAATTCCAGGAGAACAGGTCCACGTTTCAGCCCTGTGTCCTACAGACCCCCATAAAAAGAAGAGATACAAAAAGGAATTGTGGAGTGAGACTTGCAGTGTTCCCAGGCTGGAGGTTTTACAGTCCTCAGGAGAAGCTGAAATACCCTCCCTGCCAAGTGAATTAGAGCAAAGTACTGAGCACCATTTGGGATTAAATATGAACACATCTTGTATAATCACTTCATACACGCCAGAAAAGCAACAACATGGACTAAAAATACAAATGTGAAAAAGAAGTGGGGGGTTTACTTTTCAAAACAAATCACATTCCACGCTTCCAGGGCAAGCTGATGTGGGAAATAAAACCCAGACTGTGTCCTTTAAGCAGCCAGGGGGAATGGGGGGCGTGGAATGCAGCAATCCCTTCATTGAAACTTCCATTCTGTTTCATTTGAACCCTGAGTCCAAAATGCATTGCACAAATTGGTATTACTGAGGGCATTGGTTTTGTATCATTGCAGAATAAATGCACTGGGAACTCCCAAGAGGAAATTCATGAGGAAACAAGAGACTAAATCACTCCTTGGAATCAGAATCAGGATCATTTCCTGAAGCTGTGATCAGCTGCAGGGCCCCTCCACCAGGGACTACAGGAAAAAGTAAAATAAACTGAATTCCCTCCTGCTACTGGGAGGCCCATGGGCAACCTGGAAGGGACCATTCCAGTGCCATATTTATTGTATATAAATATATTAAAAGATATAAATGTACCTATTAAATTTATTTATTTATTTATTTTTATTTATTTATTAGGTGACATAATAAATTTACAAAGCAGAGTGAGGATTCCTGACACTGCTTTTTTGTGCACTGAAGGAAAGCAGTAAAGTAGCTTTAAAGACCCACACCCTACCTGTGGCACAACATCTTGGAGGAAGGTAACAACACTTTCCATGTAGGACTGTTCCCTGGAAAACAGAAGGAGAATTTCAGCCAAAGGAGCTCAGAAAGGGGCATGAATTATTAAATTAGATCAGCCAAGAGGAAGCATGGGCAACTTTTAGCACATAGGAGAATACTAAGCATGCAATGCAGGCACTTAATTTGACTGCCAAATTCTGATCATGTGAATTGTGGCCTGGAAGTTATGACAGGACTAAGTAAGACTCATAAAGTCTGTACAAAAGCCAGGTGACAGCTGCTGATGGAATAACTGCTTGGGGGGAGATGTATAAAATCTAACTTCAAGGAATAAGCCATGTTCTCCACATCAGAGGGGCCTGAGGTGGTGCAGGGATCTGGAAATCACTCCTCAGGTTGAACAAAACATGCAAATGAGGATTTGAACAGTGAATGGAGCTCTCCTGGTGGCACAACCAAAGTGCCAGAGCTCCTGTGCATGATGGACAATGCTGGCAGTGCTCAGGGGCAGGGATGGAACAAAACCTTCCCTAATGGCAAGGAGAGGCACTTCCAGATGAGAATTTACAGCTTATTCCCTGCTGGAAGCTCCTCAGCAGCATCAGCTGGGGAGGGTTTAAAGTGCAGGACACATTCATGGGGCTGGGGAGGGTTTAAAGTGCAGGACACATTCATGGGGCTGGGGAGGGTCTAAAGTGCAGGACACATTCATGGGGCTGGGGAGGGTTTAAAGTGCAGGACACATTCATGGGGCTGGGGAGGGTTTAAAGTGCAGGACACATTCATGGGGCAGAGTTAAGGCTCTGAGTAACCCATCCCTGCAGGAGCAGGGAGTCCCTGTGGAAGGGCTGAGTACCCACGGTGTGGGCTGGCAGCAGCACACAGATGGTGCTGAAACCCTGCAGGAGCTGCTGCTGTGAGCCACAAGGAACACTTGAGACACTCTGGCAGCAGGAGCTGCCTTCAGGAACCCTGAGATTACTTCAGAAAAGCCTTCAGGTTGTCTTTAAGCAACAGCTTTGGCAGCTCTGAAATCAACTTCTATGCTGTTGCAATTTTTCCTGTGCCAACTCAAGATTTCTCATAGCAACAAAGGAGAACTGTAAGTTAGGAACTCTGGATGGCCAAAGGTGCTTTTTTCTGAAGATATGGAAGATTGTTTTAATAAAAGCAGGAGTGTTTAGCACTGAAAATGCAGCAGCACTCTGGAGAATTCAGGTCTACACACAACCATCCAGAAGACACTTGAATCCAAATGCTGCAACACCTCTTTGAAAACAGAGGTAAATCTAAAATAGGAAGTTTTACATTCCAGAAAGCCTACTCCAAAGCAAACCAGCCATCCTAGGCTGTCCCACTCAGCTTTAGGGGAGCCCTAACAAATGAGCTGTGGTTTCTCCTGTGCTGATTCTTCTCTGATTTATGTAGGTCACCCCAGCTGCCCCTGCACACCTTTATTAAAACACCTGGCCACAGGTGGTGCAGTATTAAACACAGTGTCTGAAGCTGGCCTGGGAATGCCAAGCAGCCAGAGTCATGCTGCCTTCCTGGTTCAGCTCATGCAATGCACATTTTCCCCTCTCCCCAAGCACATCTTGAACCCCAGCTGATGTTTGGGAGGTGTTTTATTCACAGTGTGTGCTCTAAATCTCCCCCAAAGCTGAAAAAAATTCCAGGGAGATGTCTTTAAAAGTGGTTAAAAACAAACATAATCCACAAAAAAAGCCCAATCTTCCTTTAATAATGATGTAGAAAGTTAACATGAGCAGCAGAATGCTGCTGAGTGCTCAGCACACACAGATTCATCAAAAAAAAAAAAAAGACATTTCTGAGGCACAAACAGGTACCCCAAGAACAAAACACCATGTTTAAAAAAAGAACAGATAATCATCTTCAGCACAGACAATCAACTTCTTACAGCATTTTTCTATTATAATACTTTTAAAGCACATTTTGAAGAAAATGTTACAGACAGGAAATGCACTTGCTGAGGAATTTTGCCACATTAAAAAAATGGCTGCAGGACAAAGTTCTAACACCATTTTTTGTGCTACAACAATCAGGTTCTTGTGATCTTCAATAAAAATGAAGTGAATCTTGTTTCTGGAAATACAGAGTAATCTCCAAGGGCACAGTAACACCCCCTGAAGTGGACATTTCCATATGACACCATTTTGTAGCAGCATAAACATCCCAAGGAAGGAAGAAAAATTGCTACAAAACTCCTTTAACAGACAAAGACCATAAATCTTCTAGGCTGTCTTACAGCCAAAAAGCTCTTTTGCCATGAAAGCATTCCCATGTGCACACAGTGAAAATCAGGATGCCCAGGCACAAAAAGTGTTTGGCAGGTGCTCTGACCAGAAGGGTGGAGCTTCTTCCTTTTTTCTTGTTCTTTTAATAAAATTTAAAAAAAAAAATCCACAATTCTTCTTCCTGGAGGACTTTAATGGCAAGTTGTGTGTGTGCTTTAATATATCCACTCCTGGGACTGGTGTTGTTTAAAAGAACAGCCAGAAAGGATCACATGTGGCACATCCCTCTGGCCTAAGGAAGAAGTTGGCATCACTGTTCTACACTGCAGTGTTTGTACAGCAAAATGGTGCAAACAACAACAAAACTTTGCAGTAATTAGCTTTTAAACATACAACTTTGGTGTGCAATGGCAAAGGATGGGATCCCACTTGGGCACACAGAAATGCCACGTGTTGGCTTTATTGGACAACGCTCAACGCAGCAAAGCTGCAGCGTCAACACAAGCTGGATTTGGGGGGGAAAAACCCAAACCAGCTCAGGCTGGGCTCTTCCACAAGAAAATCAAGCCCTTCTCAGAAAGGGCTGCTCTTCTAGAAGGTTCTTACGTGGCAGCTTGAGGGCGAACCACCACTCCTCCAGTGCAGCGGCTGGGGCGGCGCGGGGACTCTGTCGCCATCGTTCCGGGCACACACCTGCAGCAAACACAGCACTCTCACCAAAACTGCCACAGGACTGGGCATTGCACAAGTTCCTCATGTATTCTTCAGGGTGGTGAGAGAGAAATTTCACTTACACACGCCTGCAGGACTCTTTACAGCACTTTTTTTAACGAGAAAAAGAAAATGGCGCATCAAGCGGGAAACTTCTTCAATCACTCCAGCTCCTGGAGTGTTTGTGAAAATATAAAACCAAACCCCACACACCTGCATGATAAAGTGGAAAATCATGTCAAACTGTACTGGATGATCTTGAAGGAGCCCTCCAACCCAAGCCACTCTATGATTCCATGATTAAAGATAGTGGTACAGGTACACAGCTGTCATCACCATTACAGAACCCACTATTTCCTAATGGGCTGCTGTCTCAGAAAACAATTATATAAAAATAACGTGCAATCACAATTGCAGTGTACTGTACTCATGAAAACATGGGTTACATTGCAGCTCACACATTCTGCTGCTTTATGGCAGCTTTTTGTGCCATCCTCAAGCTTTCCTTCACCCTTCTGTTCTCCAGGGGAAAATTCTGTGTGACATTCCTACAGGCAGAAAGCACCTGAGGAGCACCCGAGATCCCAGCCAGCTCTTCAGGGAGCCCCCTCAGCTGCTCTGTGCTGTCCCCCCACCCCAAACCTGTTCACAAAGTAAAAGAAAAAGCCAAATGCCCAAGGTGGTATCAGTTATCAGCATCATTTCACCTCAGGCCAGACTCTGCAAGGACCAGCCCATTGAGGGAGGGAGGATAACCACTCGGAAATTAGCAGCAAAACAGTAATTAGTAACAAAACGTTCAGCAACACAACAGCAGCCTGACACACGCGCCGAGGAACCCTGAAAGGCGAAATGTCACGGAAGGGATGAAATCACCTCACGGAAAGGATGAAATCACCTCACGGACACCCGCCCGTGCCGTGCCCTGAGTGCCAGCACCTTGTGGCACCCCAGCCCGAGGGGAAACGAGCACCGGGACAGTTCCAGCTCGGGCTCTGGGCCTCGGCACGGCCGCGCCTCAGCGCGGGGCACCCGCAGGGCCGCTGAGGGGCCGGGGCCGCCCGACCCTCCGGAGCCCCGACAGCGGCCGGGCCGGCCTGGGCACCTCCGCCGCCGCTATTGAGCAACTCCACACAAACACCGCGACCTGCCCGGCCTCTCTCCCGCCGCCGCCCGGAGAGCGGGGCCGCGGCCTCCCGGAGCGCGCCCACCCCGCCGGCCGCCCCTCACTCCGCACCCCGCGCCCTCCGCCCGTAGCTGCCGGGGGTCCCCCAGGCCTCACGGGCGGGCCTGCCCTGCCCGCCGCCCCCCGCTCCGGCCGCTGCCCGGCCCGGCCTCCCCGCGGGGCCGCTCCGAGCCGCCGCAGCGCTGCCCCGAGCGCGGTCCCGCCGCGCGCCCCCGGCCCGGGCCGCCCTCACCTGCCGGGCTCCCGGCGCCACTGACACTGTTTGGGACCCCTCGGGCAATGACACCAAGCGCACCGCGCCCGCAGCCAATCGGAGCGCGCCGGGGGCGGGCCGCGTCCCTCTCTCAACCAATCGGTGGACGCGCTGCCCGGCGGTGGGCGGGGCGCGGCGGGACGCGGCCGGGGCGGTGAAAGGCGGGCGGCGCTGCCCCCCCCCGCCGCGCGCCCCGCGGCTTTGTTTACATCGGGGATCTCGCGAGAGCCGCCGCGCGTCGGGGCCCGCCCCGCGCACGTGGGGCGGGGAGGGGCGGGCGGCTCCGCGTGGTTACGTCACGTAGAGGGCGGGGTTTGATGGGCGGGGCCGAGAGGGAGCCCTGAGGGGCCGTGGGGGCCGGAGAGGGACCTGAGGGGTCATGAGGGCGGGACCCGCTCGGGGCAGCCGGGGGAAGGTGCGGAACGGACAGAACGCTGCAGACAGACAGCCCCGGCAAGGGGGAAAGGCCGCGGGGCCGAGGCGTCCCCCAGCTGCAGCGTCTCCAGAGCTCAGGGACAGCAGGAGCTGCTGCCCCTCAGAGCTCGGGTGCTCTGGCAGCGCTGGAGACACGGCTGAGCAGCGGCCTCAGAAGCCCCAAAGGGGCTCCAAGAGCCAAGGACAGAGACTTTGGACAAGGGCCTGGAGTGACAGGACACAGGGTATGGCTTCACACTGCCGGAGGGTGGGTTTTGATTGTTGAAGGAAATTGTTGCCTGTGAGGGTGTGAGGTCCTGGCACAGGATGCCCAGAGCAGCTGTGGCTGCCCCATCCCTGGAGTGTCCAAGGCCAGCTTGGAGCAGCCTGGGACAGTGGGAGGTGTCCCTGCCCGTGATGTTTAAGCTCTCCTCCAGCCCAGCCCAGTGTGTGATTTATGTTTACAGGTGTCCAGCACTGCCCAGATGCCTCAGGGTGACACACGGGGCCCTGGTTCAGGTTTCCAGACAGTGGCACCAGGTCAGGAGAGGGTGACCTGCTCTGGGAATGCACCTGACTCCTGTGACAGCACCATCATCCACATACCAGAAGAATGAAACAGTGACTGAAAACATCCACCAAGTGCCTGTGAGCAGGGTTGCACAGACCACAGCTTTATTTCACAAGAAAAAGTTGGAACTCGGGTTTGATCTTACCAAAGGAGCCTCTGTGAACTTCTCAGGTGTAAATTCCCTTGTCTTATCTTTGAATATTCATTTCAGAGAAGTCAAATGATAGAAGAGGTGGGCAAAGTATACCCAGGAGTAAAATATTGCCAGTTTCTGTCAGCAGGGAACTTTCTGTCCAGTGCAGTTAATCCTGACCATCATCCAGCAGCTTCCCCAGTAAAATTGTAGGGTTGGGTTCATTTATTAAGAGTAAAAAAGAAAAATAAAAAAGCCAAAAGGTGGAGAAGCCCAAGTTTATAACAGCTTGAGGAAACTTCAATGAGGGTCACATTTCTGAGTGCAGCAGAATTCTATGGAAACTTAAATTTTGCTTCTGTGTAGAGGAAAACCCTGGGAAATTCACTATAAATCTTTTTTCTTTTGCATATTTCCCTTATTAGTAGAAACACAGTCATCTAACCGAGGTGTTACAGTCACTCTTTGGAAGGTTCAATGCAGACTAATTGAAACCAGGTAATTATTATTGTTGCTGAGGTTGTTGCCAGGCACTTGCCCCACACAGTTGTGGCCTCTGCAGCCTTTCCTGCCCATCTGGGGCAGAATTTCAACATCACAGCAAAACTTTATGAACTGAAGTTTCACAGAAATAAATCCTTGCAGGATCCAATTTGGACAGGCTGTTTCTTTCATCTCCCGAGGCAGTGCTGTGTTCCCAGCATGGATGAAAGGGAATATTTTCAGGAATAAAATCCCCTGGGATTTCTGTAACCATGGTAACACATATAGATAGCAGGCCTGCTTCCAACCCAGGTTTTATTGTTCCAGCAGTAAAGAACTGGGTTCTACAAATAACCATCCTGGAATAAAGTACTGCCCTTTTGCTTTCCCAGCAAAATAAAATTTTAAAAATGTAATATATTGCTACAGTTAAACATTCAGGATAAAGTGCCAAGATCAGCTCTGTCATAAATCTAACTGGGATGTCTTGTTTCCTAAGCCACAGTGAGAAAGGGGAGAGTATTCAGATATTTAATGAATACCAGATAAATATGAATATTTTTGTAAGAATAAATTCATATTTCACTGCTGAATAAATACCAGAACTTAAGCTTGTAATAAGAATTAAAAAATAAAAAGCATCCCCATCAAATTTTCATGTGTTTTATTGAGGTGAACATACACATGGTCCACATAGTCAATGAAAATAGTCATAAAATAATTTAAGAACTTGTGTTGAAAGGTATTAGCAGCACCATCGGTATTGGAATAGCAGAAAACACATCTCAGGAGGGCAGTGATGCCTGGATAAAATGCCATCATTTGGAACAGGGGTGGGAATGGCTTTGTGAGATGCTCTGGGGAGTTGGAGTTTTTAAAACACACTTTTTTTGCTAAATACTTTTGACGATTATCGTTACAAAAAATACAACTAAATAAGATACTGCATAGTATTTTAATTAACATAAAATCGACATTGAGGTGTGTAAAGCAAGACTCAAATCTCTGCTTCCACATACATTTCATTTCTGAGTAGAGAAATCTAAAATTTAAAACCAAAATATAGACCCTAGTGTATTCTCTAAAAGACACACTTTAGGTGGAACGTATCAGACTACGAAAATACATATCTTCCATTCTGTTTAATAATTTACTTTAGTTAAAAAGTTGTGAAATTCTCCTCACAAGAAGCGTATACAAATTGATGACTTTAGTAAATTAACAAAAAGGATTATTTTACTTTTTGTTTTGTTTTTGTTTTTTTTTTTTTTTAAAACAAGGCTTAGCCCCGCGGTAACAATTATACAAGGAAGAAAAGAAACTACATTTATATGAAGGAATACAAATTTACACACATTTTACAGTGACTTATACCCTACACATCTACAAAATTCACAGTTATAATACAAGCAAGTACAAGGCTGGGATAAAGCTGTCGGATACCAAAAAAAGTTCCTACTTTAAAAAACCAAAACAAACCGAGGGGAAGCGCTCCCAGCGGGTGCAGCCATCGCGGAGGAGGCTCAGCAGACGCACAGCGCTTTGCGGGGCGGGTGGAACAGGGAACTGCTGAGCTTCTTCTGCCCGCGGAGGCTGCGCCTCATGGCCAGCCGGGAGGGGCTCCTGCGCTGCGGGGACCCGGCCGCGCCCTCCCCCGGGCCCCGCGCCGGGCCCCGCCGCGGCTTCTTCACCGCCGGGCCCGAGTTGGATTCCTCCAGTGTCCGCTTAAAGCTGCCCGGGGGCGGCCTCTCCGCGTCCTGCGCCTTGCCGTGCCCGGCAGGGGACACCTTGAAGCCTTTTTGGTCCGTGCCTGAGTTGGCCGAGTTGGAAGGGGAGAGGCTGACCGACAAACCATTGCTGTAGGATTCCTGGAGCCTCAAGGCCAGGGCTTTGCTGCACTTCTCCTCCTGCGGGGCTGAATCCTTGGGGGTTCCTCCTGAGGAAGGTAAATTGCTTTTGGCAATCTCGTTTGGCAGCTCCAGGTATTTTTCTGAGAGCATGTTGCTGTGCAGGAGGGGAGGAATGGGCTCAGCAGAGTTCAGTCGTGGCCAGGGATCATCTTCTGTGAGCTGAGGGAAAAGGAAACAAAATACTTAGGAATAAATATAACCATGGAATCACAGAGTGATTTGGGAAGGACCTGCAAGATCACCTATTCCAAACTCTGCCATGGGCACAGGCATCTTCCACTATCCCAGCTCCCTCCCTGTCCCACCTGGCCTTGGACACTGCCAGGGACAGATTTTATCCCACGAGTGTACAGCCAGTCTGGGGCACTTTCAGAATTTCCCTAAACCCTATCAAAAGCAGGAAAATCCCACTCCACAGCAGCCTCAGCTTCTCTCCCTGCTGAGGGGTGGAAACAATTCCAGCTGGGGCTGTGAACTGCAGCTGCAGAACACTGAGGGATCTGCAGGCAGCTGCTGGGAGCTCGGGGAAAAGCAGTGCCTGAAAGCTCTGGGATCCTCAGCAGCTTTTCCACACTCAGCCAGGACTCCCCAGCAGCCCCTGGCAGAGGCACTGCCCTCTGGGTGATGTGTGCTCAGTGGCCAAAGGGCAGCAAGAGCCTCCTGACCTTGGTCACGTCCACACTTTCAATTACTGCACAACCAGGTCAGCAGGGTGGACAAACTCCTCCTCAGCTGCCCACACAGAGGGGCAGTGGCAGCCACCTACAAATATTCCTGTTTGCTGTGCAAAGGGACACTTCTTCTTGCCCATGGGTCCCCCACAGGACATCCAGCCAGCCCTGGGAAGTTCCTGAGGTGCCAGGAACCAGGCGCTTCCTAAACTCTGACCCTCATCTCTTCTGTGGTTTTGCCTCATTCTCAGCTTTACCAACAGGAAAATGGGGACAGTACTTGCTCTCACTATGCACAGGGGGATTATGGAAATGAGTGTTTATGCAGCACCCTGAAGATAGGAATTCTGACCTTATTAAAGATTTAATTGTACTTGTCCCTGGTTACTCGGTGAGTCCTTCAGAAGTAAATTTCAAGGCCAGGCTCCACTCCCCCAGTGGAAGGCAAATGGCAGTTATTATTTAAGGAAAATCATGTGCTGCAGACTGAAATGCACACAGCTGAATCAGTCAGGGACACAGCTCAGGTGAATAAACAGATGCTTCTGAAGCCACAACCCAGAACAACTCCAGGTTTAATAAAATGCACTCCAAAAGAAAAGATAATCAGGATTGTTCCCAGCATCCACACTGGTTTTCCACTCCTCTGTGGCTGCCCATGTGTGGACAAAACCATTTAGATACCATTCCTTGACTACATTTAGCAACACAAGAGGGAAGACCCTTTATGAACGGAATTTCAAAGGTTATTCTTCATCTCAGTTGCTGCAGAAGCAGAAGGACACCAGATCACACACAGAGAGCAGCTCTGGCAATGCTCCTTCAGCTGCTCCATTTAATTTCTGACATTGTGTCACATAAAGCTCAGTTTTATGGTTTTTATTGTGCAAGACATTTAATGTTGTGGCTCTTTTCCCCAGCATCTCCTGCTGGTGCAAACAGCTGAGACTGGAGCAGGCTTTGGGAAGGCAAGGAAAGGCACAGGATGGGCTGCAGGAGAGTGATGGAACAAAACAGGAAAAACAAACCACAAATCACCAACTGAATTTCTCAGCAATCCAATCAATCTTCCTCACTGGCCTCAGGAACACTGGAATTAATTTGGTATTAGTAATTGCTGCCAGAAGGACAAGCAATTAAGAAATACTTTTGTTTAATTAAGAAACTTTGGTTTCCATCTATTTCCGAATTAAGTGTTTTGGCAGGTAGCAGCTGTCAGGCATCAAGGCCACCCCTGCTTCTCTCACAGAAACTGTGATTGAAAATTTTAAGAGCACTTAAAATTTAATTTTTTTCCTCAAGATTTTGCTAGGTTTAAAGCTCTTTCCATGGATTTTGCTCCACTAGATGAAAGGGGAGGAGACAAAGTTGAAGTTTGCCATTTTATTAGCAGCTTGTTTCTCCCAAGGGAATGTTTAAAACTCCCTTTCTAATTTCTGCTTTCTTTTCCTTTGCCCAAAAGACAATTATCTGAAGATTCTGCAGAACATCAAAGGACAGTGACTTAAATCAGGAGCAGCTGGTAATTACTGAAACAAACAGCCACTCATAACTACACTCCAGTTCCTAGAGGGGGGAAGAAAAGCCACAAAACAACAAAACAAAAACCCTCTGAAGAGCTCTGCTTTATGTTAACAACTCAAACTTGCAGCCTCCAGAAAGACCTTATGTTATGATGTCACTGCTTCAACAAAGAACATCAAATCGACCAAAGGAAGATAATGAGATCTCCCAGTACAGAAAGAAAATGTTCTTTACAGCAACATGTGTTGGAACCAATTTAACCTTAAAAAAAAATAAAATAAAAGCCCAACACCACCACAACCAAACCAACCCAAATCAAAGCACGCCCTGTCAGGAACAGGTTCTCAATCTGCAATCCCTGGGCTGGGCAAGCGACACAAGCACCTGGCAAGGCAGGAAGAGAAACTGCAGCCCAGCCTTGTTTTCTAAGGGGGTGTGTTGGATGGCTTTTAATACCTCTGAGCCCCACTCTGCTTCCTCTCTGTCTCAAAAGGCTGCCTTGAATCTTGGGGAGGATCTCAGAAAACTTTCTTTAAGAAACAATGCATTTCAAGGTTTGTAAAGTAACTGTAATAATTTCTTCCACATGAAGGGAGGGAGCACAGATCAACAGCAACCAATAAACAACCAGCAGCAATTCTGAGAATTCATACATTGGAACACCAAAGGCAGAGTGTTAAAATTCTTTAATAAACATTGTTAAAAGTTGGTCCAGCCCTCCAAACCTTTGCAGGTAGAAGTACTGAGGATGTGCTGTAACTGTAGCTTTCACACAATATCCAGAGCTGCAAGAGACCCACAATGGCAACACCATGTTTTACTGACTGAGCCAATCTCAGTAATAGATTATCTAGACATATACAGGTCAAAATTAAAATTAAAAATAAATTAAAAACTCAAGATTAAAAATAGCAACATTAGAGAGAGATGCAAATTGACAGCTCAGGAGTTTCTGGGAGTGTTTCTGACTCTCTGTGATGCTCTGATTCCCACAGGGGGCCCGGAGGGAGAGCCCTTACCTTGAGGGGGGGCGTGCAGCAGCGGGAGGGGGGCAGGCTGCTGCTCTCAGGGCTGCTGTAGCTGGGCCCCTCGGCCAGGTTGAGCACCAGCTCCTCGTCGCCGTCCCAGCGGCCGCGCTCGCGCAGGGGCGCGATGCAGATGACGATGGCGCTCGTGTTGTCCGCCCGCAGCATCCGCTGCCTCCAGCGGCCCAGGGCCCGGCCCACCAGCATCCGGGCACAGGACTGCCGGGCCTCGCCCTGGGGACACAGGGGACACTGTCACACAGAGCATCACACACACACAGAGCCACCAGCATCCGGGCACAGGACTGCCGGGCCTCGCCCTGGGGACACACAGGGGACACTGTCACACAGGGTGTCACACACACACAGAGCCACCAAACACAGAGCGTCAACACACACAGAGCCACCAGCATCCGGGCACAGGACTGCCGAGCCTCGCCCTGGGGACACAGGGGACACTGTCACACAGGGTGTCACTGTCACACAGAGCCACCAAACACACAGAGCCACCAGCATCCGGGC